TGAGCAAGGTGCGGGGGCAACACCGAGGGTTGCGATCCCGTTGCCGGTCCCGGTCCGGTACGGGCGTGACACTGAGGGTTGTGATCCCGTTGCTGGTCCCGGTCCGGTACGGGCGCGACACTGAGGGTTGCAATCCGTTGCCGGTCACGAAAAAAAGACAAAAAGAAAAAAAAAAAATGCCCTGTCTTCTGTATGCATGTATGTATGTATGTATTTATTTTTAAAGATGACAGGTAGGGGGATCTTAACCCTTGATTTGGTGCGGTCAGCACCACACTCACCCAGTGAGCTAACTGGCCATCCCTACATGGGATCCAAACCTATGGCCTTAGTGTTATCAGCACCACACTCTCCCAAGTGAGCCACGGGCCGGCCCCTCTGTATGTATTTATAATGTCAATTTCTATCAGTAATGGTTTAAAGCAAAATATTAGAAAGCAGAGAAAATGCATTAGTTTATATTATTTACCACCAATTTTCCTCATAATACTTATAGTAACTTTAATGAAAAATGTATTACTTTGATTTAAAGAAAACTAAATATTCATATTAAAATTTCTCATTTTAACAAAACCAACCAATAGGGATTATTCACCTTACAAATAAAGCCTATTTAAAAAAGCGCTGATCTCTGGCATCCCCACTTTGTAACAATTAACAAAATACCTCTCAAAAAAATCTCAAAAAGCAAGACTCACCCATTTTATTGATTCAAAGAAAAAGGTAATAAGAGGTTAAAACTTAATCAAATATTTGGCCTATTTCATGTTCAGTTTTTATCATACTGGTACCATATATTTGACTTTACCAAGAGCAACCTACTCATCTACCTTTTAAATTTATAACATTAGATATTTAATAACCTAGGCAAAAAGTTCATTCTAGCTGCCTTAAATTGACACTGACTTACTAACATTGTATGAACTGAAGGTAAGGGCTATGTAAAGATTATGGTGCACAAACAGGAGCAAAGAAAAGCACCAAGGATTGAGGGGCATACTAGTATTACAAAGATTGTAATGAACTCTGTAAGAATGGTAGTGATTAAGTTCTTCTAAAGGTTTTTACATTCACTGTATAAGTCATTTGAGTACAATGGCAAAGTTCAGTACAATATAACATCTATGGAATACTTGGAAATTAATTTTACAAATAACATACTTTAAGTGACTATTTAAGGCGTACAGTCAGGTCCCCATGTATTAGTCAGCAATTACCTTACTTGAATTTCTATATTATTAAATTTTTCTACATTACTAAAATCTCCAAAGTAGTCCAAATAAATGAGATATGTTTAAGCTATACTCTCATATACATATTTCGAGCTCTGTCCACTAAGCGCCTAGAAGTAATGACATACCAGTCACTGAATGAATACACCAAGCACCCACACTTTGGAGGTTCCCCATCAAAAGGAAATAAAACTTCTTAAAGAAATAGCTGATTCTAGGACTAAAGCAGGCAGGCTATGAGATGAGCTTACAAGATATAGTGACATTTTAAAAAAAGGAGTTTCCCCACTCCAAATAATGGGAATATACCGAAAGGACAAATGAACAAGCCTAAAGAGGCTTCTATCAGCCAACTCTGGTATAATTTGAGCAAAGTGAATAATGACAGTAATAAATTAACATATAAAATGAAAAAAAAATCCAGAAATCCAAACTGATACTAATTAAATAAATAAAAGATAGGAAGAGAAAGCTCTTCCTCATAACAGAATGTCAACTGATAAAAATATTAGTAAGAGTTAGAAAATCATCACTGTGCAAACATTATATTAATGTTTAATTTAGGCATGAATCATCAGTGAAAACTAAAACCCATCAGTGAAAGTTTTATGAGGAGAAAGATATTTATACAGTTGCAAAATACTTTCCCACAGGAAAATATTTTAATTAATTTTGCATTTATGCAGTTGCAAAATATCTTCCCACAGGTTGCCTGAAAATTAGAAACTTTATAGTTGAGGTGCCTGGAGGAAAGCAGATTAACTCATCAATATTAAGATCACCAATAATGGGACAAATTGACATCCAGGTTGTATTTTGGAAAGACACAACATTACTTATAGACTATTATTGTTAGAAATATATAATCTGGATCTAATCTTTTTTTTTTTTTAAGATGACCGGTAAGGGGATCTCAACCCTTGGCTTGGTGTTGTCAGCACCATGCTCAGCCAGTGAGCAAACCGGCCATCCCTATATGGGATCCGAACCTGTGGCCTTGGTGTTATCAGCACCGCACTCTACCGAGTGAGCCACGGGCCGGCCCATGGATCTAATCTTGAGAAACAATCAGGAAACCTAAACTGAAAAATGTTCTATAAAAATATTGGCACGCACTACTCAAAAATGCCAATACTGTAAGAGAAAGGCTGAGAAAGTGTTTCTGACTAGACAATGGAAGGAATATAACAACTAAATGCAATGTATAATCCTGAACCAGGAAAAGTATTGTTATAAAAAATATTAATGGGACAATTTGAATATGGACTATACATTGGATAATATATCAATGTTATATTTGGTAAATTTGAAAATTTAACTCTAGTTATCAAAAAAATACCTTTGGTCTTTGGAAGTACACATCAAAATACTTATGGGTAAACAATCATGATGTCTGCAACTGACTCTCACAAGATTCAAGAAAATACATAAACTCACACAGAAAACATGTGCCCGTGAATACACAAATTTTGGCAAAATACTGATAACATATGTAAATCTAGATGAAAGGTATGAGGGCTCACTACACTATACTAACAATTTTCCTGTTAGGTTTTAAGTTCTTTCAAAATGAAGTTTTAAAACACTATATTCTTACTACAAATACAAACATACATACATATATACATACATAAAAGATATAAAAAATGCATACCTAGGAGCCAGATTATCATACGTATAAGCAACAGACATAAGTCGCTGAATCAAACTGGTTCCTTGGACAAGAACAAGAAATACCTTCAAAACAAAAACATTAAAAAGAAAAACCTTTAAATACAGCAAAACAAAAACTGTATTTTTAACCCCAGATTCCAAATTACTTTCATTTTTATCTATGACAACATAAACAATGTCCTAATAACAACTATTTGAAAATACTGTAAAAATATCAAATATTAGAAAACCAGAATTTTGTAACCACACTTAAGATCAGCAAGTTTTAAAAGAAAATATTAAATATTTAGAAATAGAGGCAAAAAATATCCCTTACTTTTGATCCATAGATTATCTGCATGCTACTGAACTGGGTGAAAAAAATATTATACATTACACGTCAGTGGCTTTTTTGGGGGGTGGTGAAGAATTAAACTTTTTTTACTATTGAAATAAGAAAACAGAAAAATCAAGCAGTAGCAGATTCCTCAACCATCTTGAAATAAATATAAAAGCAATATAACATACCATGGGTACAGAGCACAGATTCTAGATTCAAAATCCTGAGGTTCGGCATTTAGTTTGCTAACTTTTAAGCTGCATGATTTTGAGACTCAGTTTCTAAGTTCTAGTTCTTTATCCATATAATGAGACAAAAATAATTCACTAATTTAATAGAGAATTACTGAATCCCTTCAGCTCGGAACTCATTCTGGGCATATACTTTATAAGAGACACTATGCCTGCCTCAAAGTTGTTAGTCCAGTGGAGCTGACAGCCACAGAAAGCAATGTAACACAAGTACAGCCATGTGCCACATAAGAAGGTTTTCATCAATGAAAGACTGCATACATAAGGGTGGTCCCCTAAGATTATACTGGAGCTGAATAATTTCTATCACCTAATGACACTGTAGACATCATAACACAATGCATTATTTATGTAGCAGCAATAGGCTATATCATATAGCCTAGGTGTGTAAAAGGCTATATCATTCTACGTTTGTGTGAGCACACTCCATGATGTTTGTACAATGACAAAATTACCTAACAATGCATTTTGTCATTAAGCAATACATGGCTGTGTATAAAACGGGCCGAGCAAAAGCAGCAGCAACTAAACCTATTGCTGGCAAAATCAAAGCTTTCAGAAAAGCTGACATTTAGGCTGGAATCTGAAAGCAACCTTCCAAAATGTAATTAAGGAGACTAATAGGAATAATGCATGACAGTAAATTAGCATGTGGATAGAAAAAAGATCCAAAAAGATAACACGTAAAGATATCAATGGTAGTCAACTATGACTAGGGGGACGGTTGACTTGTATATTCTGAATTATTTTCAATAAGCATGTGTAGTTGCATATATTTTAAAAAATAACTAATTACTTAAAAAATGTGTGTACGTATTTTATATCTATACTTATATATATTTATATTATTAAAATCTCCAAAAAAATCACTAAGGTCAATAAACAAAATTAGTGAATAGATGGAAAGATCACAACTAATTTCAGCATTTATATTATAACCTAAAAAGATTAATCCGGAAAAAAACATAACTTAAACATTTCAGCAATGCAAGGTTACTAATATACAATACTGCAGAATACATTTAGATTACATTGTACTCCCCATATGTTTGATTTTATTAGATGTAAATGATCTGGAATACTGGCAGAGATCACTTTTCCCACTTTTCCCAAAATTCCAAAAGGTAAATATGCTTCAGTTTTCCATTTATATCTGTAGTTTCCAACCTCATGTCACCACAGTATTTCTCTATCAATAACAATTCATTACTTTGCTGTTTCTTGGGCAGGTATGAGGCAAGGTGTTGTTCTCAAAAGATTACAGAATGAAAAGAGATTTCACTAAAAACTTGTCTCAATCTCTCCCCACTTCCCAGTTCACTGATGGAGATGTTGGAAGGGCAAATATTTGATCACAAAACAACAGAATCCAGAGTCAAAAAGAATTCTATTTTTACAGCTGGATGTTCTGGTTATTACATTATTTTCTTTCAGCTCTAAATTTACCCTTTTATACACTTGCTCTAAGATACTAGAGCTAGCACATCACAAACCAAATTCTTCCTTTGCCATCTGGCTTCCTGTTATGTTGCGCCAACCTGGGACACTAGAGAAACTGCTTCCTTACTTTTTCTGTCAGCAGCATTGTTCCAGAAGTATTTTACCCAGAAGAGGCAGTTGGTGTCAAGCCTTCAGCTTCTCCAGGCATTCCTGCAACTGGCTTTATCAGGTCACCTCCAAGAATACTACAGCAGCTGAGCAGAACCTCTATGGGCCTCAGACGCCTTAACCCCAGTTCAATGAGAATCCCTCCTGCAAGCTTCTAATTCCTACTAATTCCAGCTCTAGGGGTGGTGAGTAGTTCCTTGTCTGGGTTGCCTCACCATTCCCTTTTCGCTTTTTCATCCATCCAACACATACATGTAAAGTCAATTCCCTATATTAAATTTACTGTGTTCAAATACCTAGTATGGTTTCCGTTTTCCTGAATGGACCCTGATACTCCCAATATATAAATTACTGAGTCCAGACCCAGAATCTTGGAAGCTAGAGTCACTCCCTGTTTCTCCCTGAGGTCTGAGCACTCTGCCAACTGTTTCCAGACAAGGAGTTTTACCACTGAAGACTTCCAATTGTAACACAGCAACACCACTAACCATGACCCTTGCAATGACAGCTCCCACGGGCTTCTCAGTATTCCTACCGGTTCTCCTGCGATTCAGGCATCATACACTGGGATTAGAAATACTTGTGCATATTCATCACCTCTGATGGCACTCCATCAGTTAAGCTTCCAGGAGCCAGATCTTTATCTTCACCATCCTCCTGACATGCTTTTCTTCTGTGTGTATCAGGGTGAACAGAGTGATGTCTCTGTTAATTCTTCAGACAATATTTCACCAAAGGCCAGGTTGAACAAAGCATTCGGGAACCTCATTTGCAACCTGAAAGTTTTTTCTTCTTCAAAGATAATGTGAGCTCATTCACTTCAGGCCCTGCATCTGGGTCCCTCTGGAGAACTCTAGATGGTGAAATGTAACCGTTTTCTTGAAAACTTTCCTAAAGCATCTTCTGGGATTCATCAAAAGCCTCAGCAGCTCCTATGATGAATAAGATCCTGAATGTTTGGCACATTTCAAAGCAAATTTTTTCTTGTCAGGGTTTTGCTGGCCTCTGGGTGGTTTCTTATAACAACATTAGTATTCACTGAAGGATTTATTTATTCACTGAAAGATTCATTTTAAAACATTGGAAGTTGACATTTCTCAAGTGGAGTGTGGCTAAGAGCTGTAGTACAAGAAGATTTTTTCAGTTGTTGAGTGGAGAGGTGTTAAAAAAAAAAAAAAAATCCCTACCAATTATTAGATACACACATTCACCATGACGTGGAATATTTCTCAGTTATCTAGCTCTCTAGGACACTAAAACTATTACTCAGTGCCTGTGATCCTGAAACATGTTCTCCTGCACTGTATTAACAAGTTGACCAAAATGGAAAGAGGACACTGAAGTAATCACAATTTACATCTCTTCCCCTTGCTTCTTGTTCTTGTAATGATATAGTTGAGAGGGTCCCCACACTTTTGGTTTCTCTCACATAATTTTTCCTTATTGGGAACATTTTATAGCCAAACCTATTTTTTCCTGGCATATGGTAGGTGCTTGGTAATTGCATTTTTAAATATTAAACTTCAATTATTATTTTACAAAAAATAATAAATTACTGAGTCCAAATAATGAGCCTAATCCTACAGCTAGATAAGATTAAAATGGCACTTAAAGAAAAGAAAAAAGAAAAAAAAATGGCATTTAAGTCATTCCCACATTTTGGATGATAAGTTGAAAAGCATTATTGCTTCATAATCACTACCACTTTAAAACAATGCCATCACTTCAGCTGTTAGGTCATATCGCAGTAATCTAGGATAACATTTCTTATGCATTACTGTATTTCTTCACTTTGTAAAAACAAAAACACACAAGCTCTCTTAAAACATAAATGAAACTCATCACTACAACTTAATGTTAACTTCTTTACTTTACCTCTGTTAATCGTGGTATATGAAGACCCTTAGCATGATCACCAGCAGCTTTCCTCGATTTGCCAGGCCAGGTTCGTTTCCTATGGCTTTCTGCTATACCAGACCAGGCAAAGACATCATGATAAGCTAAATCCAAATCGGATGGATCTACCGCAAACTGGCATATTAACTTCAGCAAGCAAGCAAGACAGTCTAGCTGCCACTGTGGATGAGAAAAAAATGTCATTTCCCTATTTTCATTCATTTAATATGACCACTATATAATTTTGAAATTAAAAGACCAAAGGAAAGATAGCTAGTACTTAATCCATGTGCTAAAGGAATTTTGCTGCTCAAACATATGGTTAGTAACAATCCAATCTTAAAAAATATCGAGGCACTAAGAGGGTGTATTTAATGAAATGGAAATGACACTTTCATTTCTTTCATGAAAGCCTCATAAAAATGTAGGTAATAGTATATAAAAAGAAAAACAAATTTCAACCTCATTAGTATTTATAAAAAAAAAAACAAAGAAATGTAGGTAGTAGACAGCTATAGGATTTTGGAAAAAATATACTGCTCAGATGTATTATAATTTTTTAAAAATTATTAAAATGCTAACAAGGATATACTGTAATTTACTCACCAATAAAATGAATTGAGAGACAAAGTATTGCACTTTGTTTTTCTACACAAGTGGCATATACTCTTAGTATTCTGGGGCCAAAGCAATTCTCAATAATTCTAGAAAATAATTCAAGTAAAAATCCTCTACTTCCCATACCCACATTTAAAATAAAAGAAATACTTCTTTAGTAAAATATAAAGAGTTTGGTATGAAAAATAAAATTTACAACTGATTTCAAGCACAATTTCAAAAACTTAAAACACTTTCTTTAAAATAAATTAATTAGAATATCACTTATGTACAAGTTTCAGAGCTTTCTCTTCAATAGTCCTTGATCTCCTGTTCTCCTGATTCCAAGGCCAAGTGGGACACCTACACCATTATACCAGGAAACAGTATTCTTCCTTCAATAATAGCAATACTATTATTGAGTTTCAAGAAGGGTACCAAAGTAATTTAGAGAAAGAAAAGACTTTTCACCAAAAGGTGCTACAAAAATTGGATAGGTATATAAAGGGAAAAATAAAAGCTTCAACCTTACTCTGCATGTACAAAAGTTAACCCAAAATGCATTATAGCTCTAAACGTAAAAGAGAATTACAAAACTTACAGAAGAAAACACAGCAGAAAAATCTTTGTGATCTTAGAACAAAGATTTCTTGGATTGGATACAAATTTCATTAAAATAAAAAACTTCTTCCCTTAAATGATACTGTGAGTATAATAGAAAAGTTAGACTGCCCAAATATTCCCCATAGATCCATGAAAAGACTTGTCCAAAATGGTTACGGAAAAAAAACCTTAAACTCTGTACTAAGACCAAAAACAAAAACAAAAACAAAAAGCAAAAGATATAGACAGATACCTCACAAAAGAAGATAAACACATGGCCAATAAGTATATGAAAAGATGCTAAACATCATTAGTCATCAGGGAAGGATAAAGCAAACCCACCATGAGATAGCACTACATACCCATTAGAATAGCTCAAATTTTAACAACTTGACCATATCAATTACCAGCACAGATACAGAATAAATCAAATTCTCATACGTTGCATGGAAGAACTGCTTTGGAAAACAGTTTGGCAGCTTCTTATAAAATTAATCTTACACTTACCATATTACTTAGCGATTTCATTACTGTATTAACCCAAGAGAAACAAAAATATTTGTACACAAAAGACTTGTACGTGAATGTTTATAGTAGCTTTATTCATAACAGCCCCAAATTTGAAACAATTCAAATGTCCATCAATATGTGAATGGATAAACTGTGATATATCTATACAAAGAATATACTACTCAGCAATAGAAACTAAAAAACTACAAATACACTTTTACCAATCTCAAAATGCATGTTGAGTAAAGGAAGCCAGATATAAAAGAGCACATACTATACTGTTCCAACATTATGAAATTCTATAAAATGAAAAATCTAATCTTATAGTAACAGAAAGCAGATCAGTAGTTGCATATGGCTGGTTGCTTGGGGGAGGGGGTGAAACTGACTGTGAAACAGCAAGATGGAATCTGAGCTACAAAAATGTTCTATATCTTGATTGATTAGGTTGGAGGATTACATAAATATATACATTTTTCAAAACTTGAAATCTACCTTTAAAATGAGTGCATTATATATTGCATGAAAAGTAGACCTCAACATCATATCACATACAAATATTAACTTAAAATGGATCAAAGACCTAAATATAAGAGCTAAAATTAGAAAACTCTTAGTTATCAGTCGTTGTGATCCCAGATTAGGTAATGGTTTCCTAGATAGGACACCAAAAGCACAAGCACAAAGGAAAACACAGACACACTGGACTTCATCAAAATTAAAACTTTCCGGGCCGACCCCGTGGTGTACTCGGGAGAGTGCGGCGCTGGGAGCAAAGCGGCACTCCCGCCGCGGGTTTGGATCCTATATAGGGATGGCCAGTGCGCTCACTAGCTGAGCGCAGTGCGGGCGACACCAAGCCAAGGGTTGCAATCCCCTTACCGGTCACAAAAAAGACAAAAAAAAAAAAAATTAAAACTTTCCTACATCACAGGGCACTCTCAAGAAAGTGAAATAACAACCCATATAATTAAAGAAAATATTTGTAAATCACATGTCTGGCCAGGAATTAATATCCAAAATATGTAAGAAACTTTTACAGCTCAACAGTAAAGAGACAACCCAATAAAAATGAGCAATGGATTTGAATTGATATTTCTCCAAAGAAGATATTCAATAGCCAATAAGCACATGAAAAGATGTTTAAGTTCATTAGTCATTAGGGAAATGCAAATCAAACCCACAAGGAGATATCACTTCATACCCACTGTTTGGTTAAAATCAAAAAGACAAACAATAACAAGTCTTAGCAAGGATGTGGAGAAACTGGAATCCTCAAACACTGTGCTGGTGGGAATGTAAAAAGGTGCAGTAGCTTTGCAAAACTGTTCAGCAGTTCTTTAAAAAGTTAAACACAGAGTTACCATAGGAGCCAGCAACTGTACTCCTACGTATAGGCCCAAGACATACTGTTTATAGCATCATTATTGATAATAGCCCCAAAGTAGAAACAATGCAAATGATAATTGATGGAGTGTGAATGTGTTGTCCCCTCCAAAACTCATGTGGAAATTTGATCCCTAATGTGGCAGTGTGGGAAACTGATTGAGTCATGGGGGCAGATCCCTCATGAATGGATTAATGCTCTCCCTGGGGGAGGGAGGAGTAATGAGTGAGTTCTAGCTTTATTAGTTCCCGTGACAGCAGGTTGTCTAAAGAGACCCTGGCACCTCCTCTCTCTCTCGCTTCCTCTCACCAAGTGATCTGCTTGTACCTGCCACTTTCCGCTATGAGTAGAAGCAGCCTGAGGCCCGTGCCAGATGCAGCTGTCCCAGAATCGTAAGTCAAATAAACCTCTATTCTTTATAAATTACCCAGTCTCAGGTATTTCTGTTATACCAACACAAATGGACTAATACAATAATCAACTGATCATTCTGCTCCTCCCTGGATTCAGCTGTGACTGAATATTTCACAAACGATGATATATATATATCATGAAAAGATGCTCAAGATCATTAGCATTAGAAAAATGCAAATTAAGGGCTGGCTCATGGCTTACTCGGGACAGTATGGTGCTGATAACACCAAGGCCACAGGTTCAGATCCCATATAGGGATGGCCGGTTCGCTCACTTTGGAGAGCATGGTGCTGAAAACACCAAGTCAAGGGTTAAGATTCCCTTACCAGTCATCTTTTTAAAAAAATAAAGAAAAGAAAAATGCAAATTAAGAAAAATCACAATGAGATATAACTTATCACAACCTACTAGGCTGACTATTAGAAAAAATAGACAATAAGAAGAGTGGGTGAGGAAGGTATATCACTCCCAGATATATGCCCCAAAGAATATCTACACAAAAACTTGTACACACATATTTGCCATAGCCCAAAAGTGGAAACAACCCAAATGCCTTTTAATTGGTGAAGGAATAAAATGTGGTACACTTATACAAACAAATGAATTACAGACACATACTACTTTCAAGGATGAACTCTGAAAACACACTAAGTGAAAGAAGCCAATCACAAAGGACCACATATTGTATGGTTCCACTTATATGAAATGTCCAGAATAGGCAAATTTGTAGAGATAAAAAGTAAATTAGACTGGCGGCTGCCTAGGGCTGAAGTGTTTGGGGGAAAATGAGGAATAACTGCTAATGGGTATGGGGTTTTCTTTTTGAGGTAGTAAAAACGTTCTGGAATCAGATCATGGTAATGGTTGCACAACTTTGTGAATATATTAAAAACCCGTGAATTGTACATTTTATTTTATTTTATTTTTTATTTATTTATTTATTTTTTGTGTGTGTCTTTTTGTCTTTTTCCGTGTCCAGCAACGGATCGCAACCCTCAGTGTTGCCCCCGTACCGGACCGGGGACCGGCAACGGGATCGCAACCCTCGGTGCTGCTCCCACGCCTCGCTCAGCCAGTGAGCGGGAACCGGTCCGTATATGGGATCTGAACCCTCGGGCGGGAGCGCCGCCGCGCTTCCCAAGCGGCGCACTATCCAGTGCGCCACCGGGCCGGCCCTGAATTGTACATTTTAAAAAGGTAAATTGCTGGGGTGCAGTATGTGGATCTGAACCCTTGATCTTGATGTTATAACACCACACTCTAACAAGCCAGCCTCTAAAAGGAAAAATTTTATTTTACATGATTTCTCAAAAGAATAAAATGTTGGGCCGGCCCGGTGGCGCACTGCTACAGTGCGCCGCTTGGGAGCGCGGCGGTGCTCCCTCCAAGGGTTCGGATCCCAAATACAGACCGGTTCCCGCTCACTGGCTGAGTGAGGAGCAGGCGCAACACCGAGGGTTGCGATCCTGTTGCCAGTCCCGATCCGGTATGGGCGCGACACTGAGGGTTGCGATCCGTTGCCAGACACGAAAAAAAGACAAAAAGGAAAAAAAAAAAAAAAGAATAAAATGTATACTGCAACTAAGTTAATTTTAAAAAGAAAAATATAAAGTTGGTTAAGAAATAAGAATGATTCTGAACTCATAAGTATTAAGAAAGATACATCATAAATAGGGGTATCAGTTGGACCTGAAAGCAATTTATGTCTCAGGCATGCTTTGCATCTCAAGCACCTCAGACACATATAGCAGTAAAATTTTATCAGTAATACTTCAAAAATATCCATAATTCCAAAGGAAACAGAGAGAAAACCTTTAACATATAGTACCATGTAAACTTTATTCACAACTAAATTTAGGGCAGTACATAAAAAAAATTCCTATAGACACATAACTCATTAAACAGTTTAAAATCACCTGTTTTACAAAAAAACTAAAAGGCATTTCCATCATTCTGAAATATTAATGGGGCAACAGACATGACTAACAGTAAATGCAACAAACAGAAATTTGAAATATGAGACCGAGAACTACACTAATTAATTGTAGTAGAGATGGATATCCTAAAACGAAAAGTATCTTAAGTAAAATATTTAAAGCAAGAATAGAAAAAATAAGTATTGAAACCAGTAGTAAGATTAACAGATACTTGTTACATAACATGTTTTTTAAATGTACTCTTATTTTGGACACAGCAGTATCTGATATCAAATCATTAATGCCTGACTCCTAGTTCCAAGGTAATGCTGAAAAACAAGTACTAAGAAATTAATACTTGGATGGAATATTTGATAATGCTAATCTGGTTTGTTCAAAGTCAAGAAATGGAGTACATTTTATAGTTAGTTCAAAACTGGACTATGCAGTTTTGTATATCATGAAGTTTTTAATATTCCACACCCAGTTTTATTTTCCTCAAAGAGCAGTGCTTCTTCAAATTAATAGTGGTAAAGTACCATTCAAAAATTTTTTTTACTTTATTTAGGACCAATACTTTTGTGATATACTACTAAAAATACTGTAGCAATGTCCAATTCCTGCAAAAATTTCTAAAGGCTTACTCTCAATTTCTGTGTCTAGCTCACTGTAGACCACTGACAATGGTCTGGAAGCACATTTTTGAGTGTTAACTGCTATAAAGGAAAAAACGGTCAAAACAAAATGAAGAAGGGCCAGCCCCGTGGCTCACTCGGGAGAGTGCAGCGCTGGTAGCGCCGAGGCCACAGGTTCGGATCCTATATAGGGATGGCCGGTGTGCTCACTGGCTGAGCGTGGTGCAGACCACACTGTGCCGAGGGTTGCGATCCCATTACCGGTCAGAACGAAACAATGAAAAAGAATGTTCATAAAAAAGTAAGGCATAAACCAATTTAACAAGATAAACTATATAAATATTAATATGTAATTTATTAACCTAAAGGAAAAATGTTTATGAATTAGCCATAGTTCAGGTAATTAACTTTAGCACTTAAGAATTATAACACAATTTATATGATGGACTCTTATTCTATAAATAGTTTATCAAACTCTTTACATTTTTAATTTATTTCTACTATATTCCATACTCATTACAATAAAGTATATAAAAAAAGTTATACCTGCTAATGGAAATGGAAGTGCTTCAAATGGGATAACTACTGTAAACAGCTGAAACGGTGAATTATCACTTACCACAGTCCACGATTCCTGCTCTTTAGGCTCTAGAATTCCAGAATTAAAAATTTCTAGTAACTGTTGAAGCCCTCCAGCAGCAACAAACTGTAAGCAATTGTGAAGGTAAGGATAAGAGAAAAGCAGCTACATAATATAATGATAACCTGTTTGTTGACTCAGTAACTGAATATATGCAAAATATTACATATATGTCATTTAGAAAATTACTCTTTCATTTAAGTCATCAGAAAACTTCTATTTAAAATAATAACATAAAGCCTACTTTAAAGAATTTATTTTTAAAAGATTCTTGTAAAAGTCTATAAACATATCTTTTTATTCCATTAGCCATTTAATCCCAGACATTGGGATTTTCTAACATAATATTTCAATGGTGGGGGGGTGGTGAGAAGTGGCTGTCAGTGCTAAAAACAGGATAACCAAGGCATTAAATAATCTTGGTATACATTGTTGTGATTTAGAGCAATGCATAATTTTTAAACTATGCTTTAATACTTAATTGGTTTAGAAAAAATGAAGAATTATGGTACCCACTTTTGGAAAACTGACAATAAATTATTTTTATCAATACACCGCAAAAAACATATGATCAAACCTTGCAACTCCAGGAATTTTTGCTGTTTTCCACTTGATCCTCACTTGAATCATCTGAATCTGGATAAAGATCACTATAACTTCCCTGTGGGAAATACAAAAATAAAATAAGGGAAGGTGATGAAAGAAAAAATTATTCTAGGATGATAAGATAATACACTTCTGGAATCTTGCTCCACAGAGAATACAAATATTTAATGATAATAATGAAAATGCAATTACCGTTGACTCTCTCCTTATTCTTCTGTTAGGTTTTCCCAGTGCTTCAATAATTTCCAGAGCATACAATAGCTTGTGGGCACTCTTAATTTTGAGAAGTTCTTTCCAATTAAGTCCATCATTACTCTTAAATTAAAAAAAGAAAAACATAGTCTTCTCAAGCAAACTTACTACAGGTACCCCCCAAAAGAATAACTTTAAAGAAACAAACACTACATAAAAACTCAAATATTACATGTACTTTGAAACATATTCATATGTAGACCAGTTATATAATTGGTGTTAATAGTATGCTTAAGATACCAATTATTCATTAAGTTTTGTTAAAACAATAAAATTAATAAACAAACATGGGAAAAAATTATTATTTGTTAAACTTCACAACAAATGAGGCAATTTACCATCTTCCCAATGAAGAAAACACTGTAGTCTAGTTGAACGCATGAACTTTTAAGGATGTTGATGAACTAGTTAAATGTTTCTATTTAATACTTACACCACCATTTAAAAAAGTCATATAAAAATATAGTGATCCATTGTTATCTGCAGGGGATTGGTTTCAGGACCCCCACAGATGCCAAAATCCACAGATGCTCAAGTTCCTTATTACAAAATGGTGTACTATTTGCATATAACCTACACGAATCCTCCTATATACTTTTTTTTTTGGTGGCAGGCTGGTAAGGGGATACAAACCTTGACCTTAGTGTTATCAGTACCATGCTCTAACCAAGTGAGCTAAATGCCAGCCTGCCCTACCATGTACTTTATATCATCTCTAAATTACTTATAATACCTAATACAATGCAAATGCTATGTAATAGCTGTTATGCTGTAATTTATTTGTATTTTGATTGTTCTATTGCATTTTCTTTTTAATATTTTCACTCGGTAGTTGGTTGAATCTGTGAAAGCAGAACCTGCAGATGGGAGCAGGTAGCAACTGTACAAGAATTTAGAAACACTGCTTTTTCCTACTCTCAATTTATGAAATATTATTATTCATACTTAATGCATACCTTTGAAATGTTATTACTAGAGCTACTCTGAATCATCATTCACCATTTTCTAGAGCCCACCTTCTTTACTTCTGAGTCATTAAGATACAAGACATTCTGAAATCACATGGTAGTGTCCCAAATCATAGATAACCATTAGCATAACATCAACATTTGTCTTTGTATTCATCCCGTAAGAGTTCTATTGGAGATCTCAACAAAGAAATCCCTTATTATACAGCTTTTTAAAACAATCTTTTATTTTAAAGATGTCTTTACAAAAATATCCAACACTTACACATGTTAAGGTAATGTCCCATGGTATTCATCCCGTAAGAGTTCTATTGGAGATCTCAACAAAGAAATCCCTTATTATACAGCTTTTTAAAACAATCTTTAATTTTAAAGATGTCTTTACAAAAATATCCAACACTTACACATGTTAAGGTAATGTCCCATGGGAAAATTACCACATATATATTAAACTTCTTTGCCTCATTTTTCGCTAATTCTTTCAGTTGACTTGTATAAGCATCTAAAACAAGCACTGATGCATGTCAGATTACCATAGTGTTTTCTCTAAACATTACTTTTTGTTATCAAAAACAAAGCAATATTCAAAACATATCATAATATGAAATAAAACTAAAAAAAAGGTAAATCCCTATTTCCTAAAGATAATTTTAGAAAACACCCTTCCCTTGTATTTAGCCTATGTTATTCGACCTCACTAAAATAAACAAACATTAAAATGAACTGGTACTTTTTACCTATTAAATGAGCAAAAACTATGTTCATATTTACTGAGAGTATGGATTGAGAGGTGATCTAATATACTTCAAGTAGGAATGTAAACTGTAACATCTCCCAGGAGAGTAAACAGATTTTGTGGGTTCACCTGTTCATCTGAGATATTCTGGAATGCCATCAACATGTTAGGACACGTAGGAAGAAGCATCAGTAGCTCCCACACACGCCTAGACAGATTTTCTGCATGAAGATGAAGTTCTTCACATCGTAAACTCTACACAAATAAGAACAACTACTTTATCAAGACAGATCAGAAAACAAAATTTTTAAACTTAAGTTCAACTTTTCTTTAACATAAAAATCATTATCAAATTTGCTAACATTTTTTAGTCTTTTTTAAAAATGAGAAATAAAACACTTGTTACATGGTAAACAGAATTTATTCAAGAAAATTAACAGTTATGATGAAATAGTGTTTTTCCAACTTCTTACGAACACTTTTCTGGAATAGCCTTCCTCAACAGCTGGTCACTTTCCTCAGGAAACTTTTCAAATACAAGTAAGAAATATCTGTTTCATAAAGCCATTCAAGAAAATTTCAGTAAGACTACTATCTATTTCTTCTTTGCAGGTCACTATTCTAAGCATGACAAAGAATTTAGTTAACTAAATTCTTTTTTTTTAAAAGATGACCGGTAAGGGGATCTTAGCCCTTGACTTGGTGTTGTCAGCACCACGCTCAGCCAGTGAGCGAACCGGCCATCCCTATATGGAAGGTCAAGAATTTAGTTAAGTAAGGCCGGCCCGTGGCTCACTCGGTAGAGTGCGGTGCTAATAACATGGAAGGTCAAGAATTTAGTTAACTAAATTCTTGACCTTCCAGGGATCCAAACCCAGGGCCTTGGTGTTATTAGCACCGCACTCTACCGAGTGAGCCACGGGCCGGCCTTAGTTAACTAAATTCTTGACCTTCCATTTGAGAAGACAGCATACCTGTTTCTCTTATTTTGCTAACTCATACCTTATTTTTCAGTTTCAGACCAGCAGAGATAAAGAGGAAAGCAAACAATTTTAAAGAATCTACTTTTTTCCATTACCATTTGTTAAATCTGAACTCAGGAAGGTGCTAATATTTCAGAAAGTATGTAAGAAACAGGTAAGTTAACTTTTATTTTTTTAATTAAAGTATCACCCCAAGAGGTAATAAATAGCTAAAGCAAAAATATACAGTTCTGGTATTTCCACAGAGTATATATTTGCTCATTATTGTACTATTGCTACTGTGTCATAATGATTCTTTGGTATAATACAGTCTAATAGATGTCAAAGGGATATTCTGTAAGTCTGTGAAAGGTAATTTAGTTCTTTTGGCATAATGTTATAAAGCTAGAATACTTTGAAGGCAAGAGAATCCTACAGAATGAATTTCAAGGTAAACTTGGCCTTTCCCAACCCTGAATAAGAAAAAGAAGCAAACAACTGTGAATAAGATAGAGAAGCAAGCCCCAAATAACACTTCTGGTTTAGTTGCGGAAACGGCACTGACAGTTCTTCAGTAAAATAGAATTCAATCCTTTCTAAACATCCATTTAAAAAAAGAAAAAGAAGAAAAAAACTAAACTCTGTGCAAAAAAAAAAAAGGAAAAAAAGAAAATACTCTTCCAAGTGTGCATGACTATGTTCTGCTATGCCTGCAAGGTCTAGGGTATATACACAGTAAAGATCCTTTATTTTTACTTTTGTTGTAATGCTCATCAGGGCTGAACCACCCTTGTTCAACAAAGAATCCCTACATCAACCACAGTATCCCTGCCACAAACAAGATTCAATTAAATAACCTGCTCAAACAGCAAAATGTTTTTCCTCTGGTGTAGCCCCCACTCAAGACTCGTACAATGGTCTATTAACCGGTCCTCTTACCTCCAGTCTTTATTTTCCTGATGCACCTACCACACTAACACCTAAACTTTGTTTCTAAAAGCCCAGAAAAGATCTCATTTTGTTGCTTGAAACAGGCCATGATGATGGCAATCCATTTCACAAAGAATAAAAATCACTCCCTTTTTGTCTTTGTATTTGAATTATACTATGCTCCCTGTTTCTTAAACAAGTCATTCACTCTTCTGTAAATCTCTAATGTGTTTTTTTTTTTCACTCCTCTCAGTAGCTGGACCCAATTTAAATAACTGCCATTCTGCAAAAATCTTCTGCAAATTTATGCTCCTCCATCCCCCCATGTTCCCATAACACAATGCACAGAACACTAGCATCCTCCTGGAGAACCAGAACATTCTCTTAATTATCTTTCTTTTAAACTGCCAATACAGTGCTAACATGAAGTAAAAGGTAAGTATTTGTGGCATTAAATAAAAGAGGTAAGGAAATAGAGGTCCGTGGGCACCTAGTATTGATTATTCTGCTTGAACAAAAGGGGGACTTCTTCGGAATCTAAGAATGTGCCACCACAAGAGAAACTAGATCATGGGGAACAGAGGAATCAATAGCAGATAATGCCACATCCATGATCAAACAGAACATGGAAATACAGGAAGAAGTTATTTAACATTCTTGGGAAAGAAAGAAAAGAACAGTAGCCTAACATAGAAAAAACCACCAAAGCACAACATTTTATTTGTCACTCAATCTCAAAATTGTGATTCACTGGATGAAATACATGAATGAACAAGATCTTAGGATAAGACATTTTAAAGGCATTAAAAAAAAAAAGTCAGTGGATTAAAAATAGCTCCTTTAGGTGATCTCATACACACTGACTTTAAATACCATCTTCATAGTGATAACCTGCACACTTACTTCTCCAGACCAGACCTCTTCTCTGAGCTCCAAACTTACATATCCAACTGCTTACTTGACATATCCACTTGAGGTCCCTCAAGCATCCATTCTTCTTCATGTCAAATGGAATCAATCCATCTAGTTGCTCAAGCCAGAAAACTAATGCCATCTCTTTATCTTCTTTTTTCCTGACCCCTACCCATTCCCTACCCCCTAATCCAATATACCATCAAGTGATGTTTTGGCCTGTTGTCTACTTAATTTATTTCCACTGCCACCATCTTATTCCAGGGCACTGTCAACTCCTTCCTGGACTAGTGAATTAAGATCCTTACTGCCTTCATTATTTTTGCTGAACAAACCTATTATGTATAAAACAAAAATCAGAACATGTGTTATCTCCCTCTGTTTAAAAATACTTTAATTCTGTTTACTTTGAGTAAAATGGAAACAATCCACAAGGGCCCACGAAGCTTACATTATTTCACTCTGACTACCTTTTCAATCTCATTCCTCCCATTCTACTCTCCCATCACCCTCTATGTTCTACTCTCTTGCTAACAATTCCTAGACCTGCCCAACTCCTTTTTAAATCAAGGGTTTCAGGAATCAGATTACTCTATCCATATTATTCCTCATCCTTTTCATTTAGTTGGCTCCTTTTCATCCTAGCTCAGATTATATACACAGTCTCCCTCAGAGAAACCTTGCCAGATCAAATAATATGCAAATGAGTCTCTGTCAACCTATAACTCTTTAATAATGGTATGGCATGTTTCGGTCTTATACCTACCTATGTCTATCTGAAACTATTTATCTGTTTGTCTACTTGAAAGTCTTTATCTGTTAGGCATGTCGATAACCTGTCTCCCCTACCGGATTCAAAAAAGACTAAAACTGTGCCTATTTTGATAATCTTTGTAACACAATACTTTGATTAAAAGAGTATGCCTGGATTGTATTAGGCACTTAAATAATTAATGAATGAATAAATGGGTTCCTAAGTTTATTGCTCTTAAGAGATTACTGAGAAAATTATTTTCCTCTCAACAGAAAGACAAAACAAGATTTGTGAAAGTAAAATCTGATATAATCACCTCACTATCGTCCACTGCCACTTTTCCTGAAGGTGGTTTAAATGATGCAAGCATTTCTAATAAATCAAAAAGAGTAGTTAAATGAGGTTCTTGTAAAAGCAAAAGCATAGGAATGTTGTCCTTCTGAGGGGGTGGTAGGCAAGATGCTGGCAGTTGAACACCTTCCCCTTTCCTTTCTCTCCTTGGTGCACCCAAAGATACAAACACCATCTATAACAATAGAAGAAATGGGAAAAAAAATTATATATGTCAAGTTTTCAGTTTAATAAAACAATAAATCTGAAGTATAAAATAACTTCACTCACAATTTTAATATAACAAAAGCAATAAGAAAGGTTTTTAAACGAGACCTCTGACTGTTCAACTACTTACTATTACAGTCAACAGATAATTAAAACTCAAACCAAACCACATCTTATATATATATATATATATATATATATACCTGCATATCCTTAAAACCAAGCTCATGAAGTGCTTTTTCATCATAATCCGTTGTTAACTCATGTCCAGATGAAATCATCCTGACAGGTCCCATGAGGCCTCCTTAAAAACAGCAGAAAATGGAAGTGAACTTTTTTAAAAATAAGAGTTTACTTATTTGCTGACTAGAATAAATAATTCTAGCAATTAAGTCCACTACCTGTTAAGCTTAAATATAATTCTAGACAGAAGTGGAGACTGTACTAAGCATGCTTCCTACATATTTTCTGTTGTCTGAGCTTAGCCTAAAGCAGTAAAGATTACAAGAAAGTTTTCTTTTACCACCAGCCTAACTAGATCGATTCCTACTTGTTTAAAAATAGGAAAAGCATTACAGGAGCTTTCTGTGAATCTACTACATTTCCCCCAGCAATACATACAGAGGAATCAGATTCTTCAATGCTTTAGTTGCACAAGAAACTAGCACGTATTTGTAATGACTGAGTTCTCTCTCCCCTATTATTATTCACCAAAACAAAACAAACAGAATAGACTGGAGAACAAACAAAAATCTGACATGGGGAAAAATAAATAAGTACCTACAACTTTCCAAGTCTGTGGTAAATTCAATAAACTCAAAAGACCGAGACAATTTATTTCTAGAATGCATGAAGTCCTTTTTGCTGCTTACACCTTCGACTTCATTTCTCACCTCACACTATATGCTTCAGCCACTTGGCCTACTTGCCTTTTCTAGAAAATACCAAGGATGTTCCCATCTCAGGAATTAAATGTTCCTCCCCAGGAATTCATACAGCTTTTTCCCTCACTTCCTTCAAGTCTCTCATCAAATAGGAACTTCCTCCTAAGAACTCAATGTAAAGAACCTCATTTCACTGTTAACACTTTACTCTGCTTTATCTTTCTTTAAAGCACTTATTAGCACCTAGCATTATATATTTATCTCTCTCCTCAAAAAAGCAAAAAACAAACAAGCAAAAAAGAATTCCTCATTCCACGAGGGCAGAGATTTTATTTTGTTCACAGATATATTCCAGGTACTAGAACATAGTAGACATTCTAATTAATTAACTAATTAACTAATTAATTTTGTTGTTTTTGCTGGTTGGCTGGTACAGGGATCTAAACCCTTGACCCTGGTGTTACAAGGCTATGCTCTAACCACTTGAGCTAACCAGCCAATCCAAATTAATTATTGTATTATCCATTAGTTTTGAAAGGATATACTTAAAGTGGGAAAATTATTTATCAGACATTTTGTGGTTTTGCTTAATCTAATTAAACTTTTAAAATATTGTTAAATTTTATTAATTCAATGTAGAAAAACTCCTTTGGATGGGCACTAAATATTTCAAGAATAATGACTGAGGCAGGGCTACTGCTTTCCACAATGACACATAACATTTTAAAATTACTTTCTCCCTTCAAACAAATAAGAAAATTCAATTAAAAAAATTTTTTTTCAAACACAGAGAAAGAAACTGGTTTTCCCCTAGTTAGATTCATTGTGACAATTTTCCTAAAGTACCATTGTTTTGTAGCTAAATTGCTAACTGTTGTGTAGCTAAATCTATGATTATTTACCTTCTTAATATTTCTAAGCCTAGAAATCTTAGCCCTCCCAATAGTTTGATAAATATTCGATGCTATTTTCTTCTGAATTTTCCTTATGTTTATTTTGGTAATGTAGATATGACATTTCAAACATCCTAAATATTGGAGAGAAATAGGGTTTCTCTTTCTTCCCACAAACTGAACAAGTCATATATGACTGCTTCTCAGTTATCCATTCTGTGTTATTTACCAAACAATTCCTTCACCAAAATCATATTATTATAATTTTAAAATGTTTAATAGCCATTATAGAAATGCTTCTCTCTACTCTTCCTTGTGGGTTTTCTTATCAGAACTTATTATATTGCTTAGTTCATTCATACAGATAACTTCAGAGTAATTTCATCACATTTTAAACAAAAATTACATTGGGATACTATATAGAACATATTAAAAAATAAATTTACTTGACAGTATTCACTACAGGAAAGTGTTAAGTTTTTCCATTTAGTCAGCTGTTCATTTATACATAACAAAAAGTTTTAATCTATACATTGGGATACTATATAGAACATATTAAAAATTAAATTTACTTGACAGTATTCACTACAGAAAAGTGTTAAGTTTTTCCATTTAGTCAGCTGTTCATTTATACATAACAAAAAGTTTTAATCTCATATATATCAAAAGACCTCCTCACATTAACATTTCCTTAACATTTTTAATTACTATTAAGCACTTGATTTCTTTAGTTTCCTCTTCATCATCATCACCATATCACCTACTAATTATAATTGTGCTTCCAACTGCTATACTTCATATATTTTATTCAAATCATTTTGTATAATACAAAACAGGAGAAAAATAAATGCTTATAAAGCACATTGTTTATTATGAAAAACTTTGGCTACTGGATGCACAGAAACTCAATATTAAACTTTTAATACACTGGTTGATTTTTTATTAAATGTCTATTCTGAGATAATCAAATACAATATGATTATTGATCTTTTCAATATTAAGATAAAACAACCTTAGTCATGATGGGTTGCTAAAATAATATAAAGATGATTTACTTCCTACTTTATAACATATATTAACTGAGCAAGTATACTTAGTTCCAAAAGAGAACTGAGATGGCTAGTAGTTTATTTAGAATTGTGGGCTCTATCTAATGTGAGATAGGCCTACAGTTTGTGTGTGTAAACATGTGCTATATATATATATAGCATTGAATAACTGTGTAGTCCCAAAATTCATACTGAATCCTAATCACCAAGGTGATGGTATCTGGAGATGGGACCTGTGGGAGGTTATTAGGTCATGAGGGCTCTGCTCTCATAAATGGGATTAATGATGTCCTTAAAAAAGAGGCCTGAGGAAGCGTGCTTGCCCCTTCTACCAAATTGAGGACACAGTGAAGGTACCATCTATGAGAAAGGAGGTCCTCACTTGACAGTGAATCTGCTGGGTACCTTGATCTTGGACTTGTTAGCCTCCAGAATTGTAAGAACTAAATTTCTGTTGTTTACAAGCTACCGAAGTTTATGGTATTTTGTTATAGAAGCCTGAATGAAGGATGACAATGTGTTAATGTTGATTGTAATGATTTCACTGACTTTTACAATAAAATAAGCCACTTTCTTTTACTGCTTTCGAGAAGAACTTTCTTAAGAATTCCTTATTTTTTAAGAGTTCTAGAAAGAATTCCTACCTTTAAAAAAACTAAAATCTTAATGCAATCAATGTCTTAAAAAAAACCGAAATCTGAAAAACTCTTGGGTTGTGATGGTATACTGAACAACATATATCTAAATTTTACCCTCTGAAACTCTAATAAAATAAATTTTCAAAATTTTGTAACAGGAAAAGAAAACCATACCAAGAAAGTTTGCAAGATGGAAAGCAAATGAACTTGTGGTGATTACCAAGCCCCCAAAAATATAAATCCCAAACCAGAAGCAAGCTCATAATCTAAAATGTTTCATACTGATTTGACACAGGAATAAGAACAACACCTGAAACTGCCCACCTCCTGACAAAAAAAAAAGAAAAGAAAAAACAGTGCCTCAGTAGTCTGTGAGACATTAACAGTCTAGAAATAGTTAATTATAGGCTCAGAAATAGAGAGAAGGCAAAGAAAAAGATATCTGAATATATAATTTCTAAACTTTATCAAATTTTATAAAAGTAGTAAACTCACAGATCCAAGAAGATGAACAAAACCCACGGCGCGTAAACACAAAGAAATGTACAACAGGCACATCCATAATGAACTGCTGAAAATCAACGTTAAAGAAAAATCTTTATAACCAACCACAGTAAAAAAAAGACACACTGGATACAAAGGATGAAAGATAAGGAAAACACCAGATTCTAGGCAAATGATAACAGAACAACATTTGTAACGTCTTGGTGAGGGGAGAGGTTCAGGGAATTCATGATCTAGAATTCTATGTCCAGTGAAAATATCCTTCAAAAATGAAGGCAAACATCTTTTAATAAACATTTTTTTCAGACAAACAAAAACCTGAGAAAATCCATCACCAGAAGACCTGCAGTACAAAGTTTCAAGAGAAGTTCCTAAGAAAGAAAAATAATGAAACCAAACAGAAACTTAGATCTACAGACAGGAATGAAGAGTGCCCAAAGTAGTAAACACGTGGTAAGAAAGGGAAAGAAAAAGTTGGCAGAAACGAACAAAAAAAAAATTAAATGGTTACATTAAATATAAATGCTCTAAACGCTTTAACTAAAAGGCAGACACCATCAGACTCATTTTTAAAAAGCAAGATTCAACAATTAAGAACAAAATACTAATATCCTCAAAAAGATATTTCAACTAAGAAAATAGGCATATTTATTCAGAGAACAAAAAAGAATTTTTTTTTCAGATATTAAAAGCATGACAAGAGAAATGAAAAACTCAAAAGAAAAATTGCAAAATAAAGTTGAGAATATCTCTTAGGAAGTTAATACTCAAAAAAATGAAACACAGGAGAGAAAAGATCATTAGGAATATTCCAAGAAATGAAACATCTAGATAACAGAGATGTTCTAGAAAGAGAATAATGATAAAATAGAAGACAGGAAATCTATGAACCAATTCAAGAATATTTCTCCAAACTGACAGATACAAGTTGCCAAACTAAAAGGACCCACTAAATATGTAAATACTGAAGTACCCGTTCATTGTCCTTGAAAACAGACCCCATATTAAGGCCCAGCACTGTCAAATTTCAGAACACTAAGGATAAAGAGAAGATCTATAAGAAGTTCTATAAAAGAAAAAATACAACATGTAAAAAATATCAGATCTGAATGGGTTCAGACCTCCTAAAAGCAAAATGGAAGCAAGAGGTACAACAACAATACCTCTAAAACTCTGAAACAACTTTCCAACCTAGAATTCTATAACCAGCCAAATCGCCATTTAGGTATGAAAATATATGAGACATATTTTCAATAGTTGAAGAAATCAAAAACTTGATCCCATCAACCTTCTCTCAAGAAGCTCCAGGACACTGCATTGTATTCCAGGGAAACAA